GCAAAGTCGGTTGAAGAGATCGTACCTCAAGTCGCTTCGTCTCGGGGGTGAAACTGGGGTTGTTCTTCAGGACCTTCTCCAAGACGATTGTTCCGTTTTCAGGACCTAGACCCTCGATGAAAGCAGTCTTGATGTCAATATCTTCACCGCCGTTGGCATAGATCTGGTCAACAAGCTCCGTGGCGAAGGTCAATCGGATGGCGTTCATGCCAAGGCTCTTGATTTCAGACAAGACGCGCTCCACAGAAAGGTACTGCAGACCCTCGGGAACCATGACCTCGCCGTGGCCGGGCCAGTTTGTTCCGGCTTGCCTCACGATCTCGCCGTCTGAGTTGTGGATGTCGCGTCCAGAGGTGACGAAGGGACCTTTGGGCCAGGCCTTCTCGCACTTTGCGGTGCTGAGAGACATGAGGGAGGCGATAAGCCCGACAGAGATATTGATAAACTTCATGTTTACTGATGACAGGCACACGACTTGGCCACTGCTGGGATGAAGATGGTGGTCTCGTAGATAAGAGGTACAGGTGCCATATGATGCGCAGGGCTCGGGAAGCTTTATAGCTTTCCGGACGATCAAGAACATGTGGCGCTCCGCAGATCAGTTGTACAATGTCAATAATCTCCCCACATCAGATCCGTGGAAGACTGAGCTTATTCCGACCAAGGCTTTGGTCTCTCCCGGACCGGACCGAAGATCAACGGCTTCATCTGGGCCAAGGTGAAGCTCGACTGGCGTACGTCATGCGCGGGGTAGCAGAATGCTCCGCTGCGAGTGACGAGTTTGTAATTTATGCTTGTCCAAGAAGGAGTTGGCCTTGGCTGTGGTCTAGTCTCTCTGGAGAGTCAGGAACCCCAGACTAAGGCTTCAAATTGCTCCGCCCCCGCACGTAGCCTACCATCGTTACCCCATACTCAAGCCGTCTGATCATGTTGTGGACCCTATATCTCGGTCGTTTCACTGCCGACAGTTTTCCCTTTGGGGGCAGGGGACAGCCGAGGCCTTCGGCTCCGTGTTCCCCGGTCGCCTCTGTGGGGAGCCTAGTGCAAATGAGAGATCATCACGGCCAATTCAAGTAATTGATAGACTAGAACCGGCGCCCTGAATGGTGCGCAAAAGCAGGCCTGAGTCGACCACTCGGTGGTGTCAATCGCTTGTTTGAATCTCTGCCGATGCATCGTGACCGCATCACTGCTCGCTGCCGAAGTCCTAATCCGTTCTTTCGCCTCAATTGGTCACGGCCTTGCCTATTTCATCATAGTACTCTGGGGTCACAGGAGCTGCGAAATCGTCCGACCCATCACCTTTTCGGAGTTTTCCTCGGGCCATGTTGCACATTAATCACTCAACAAATATCATGCCAGGCATGGTGGTCGGTTTTCTTCGAATCCACCTTTTGGCCCGACTTTGGGCACCCGATCGTGCCATCGTTGGGAGAGCGTCTGTAACGCCGTCCGGTTCTAGATGCATGGTTTATTGCTGCTTTCATCATAGTAATCCTTTCACGTTCTGCCTCATTTGGCATATCAAAGCCAAGGAACATCTGAATTGCGAGTATGCCTGACGAGAAGCCAATATAATACCATTTGCCTGGCTGCTGGACCTCCCTCGGAATTTTGACGGCGCTTGAATTAATCTTGAAGTATACACTATCACATTGGCATCTATTGTTACTTTTGTTTATGGCGAGACGATCATCCCGGCCTGTGGGCTGGCCTGGATGCTACAACAGTTTCTTGTGCTTTAATCCTAATTTTACCATGTAATTCACTTTCCAACATGCGAATTTGCAACAGTGGGCGTCAAAACCGAGGGCGAGGACGATTCAAACTCAAAATTACTCGAGATTCGTGGAACCAACTTCCTTTACGTGCAGTCATCTCGGTGATTTTTGTGCTTCAAGTGCTGATGAAAGCGCCACGAGGTGGTGTACATCGTTTTGAGTCTTGAGTCTCCATAGCCTTGGAAATTTGGCTCAACAACCACATCGGTGCGGCTGGTGATCAGATGCTTGCATAGAGGAATGGTGTAGGCAGTGGATATGTGAAGAAACTCCAGCTGCTGAAGTAACCGTACGTGACATTACTTCTATGTCAAGGTTGACAGATTATGTCACAGAGTAGCTGTGAGCTTAGTAAACGGGTAACTCACAACATTGCGCCGCGGTCAACTAAGATATGTGGGACAGAAAGGCATCCGGAGCTTACGTCTTCGCAGCCGAAGAGATCTTCGTAGCAGTTATTTGGATATACCACTTTAACCCTCGTGTTCGGGGCTCACCCACTGATACTCCAGTTTCAGAGCTCTAGGCAGACACATTTAACGACCTACCTACTGTATGAACGAGAACGGATTCAACGAGAGCAACGCACTCCGTTTAAGTACGGACGCACAATCAATCCAGTTACATCGCAATGTTCATAATGTATAAATGAACACTATCAGAGGTCAATACGTAGCTTTGTCGATTTTTGGGAGGGTCCAATCTGTCGAAAGGCGCCCCCGCGTCTCGCAAATATGCTTGACTCCCTGGCCAGCTACTACCCAGTCATCGTAGCTACTGAATCTGTTACCCTGTTCATTGTCGATCTACTGCACGCGTCCGTACATTGTTCAGAAGTTACTAAATCGCTCGAGTGAACGAGGTCGCATTGACCTTTAATCCGTCGTCGTAGCTACCTCAAGCTTTCGGTGCCCATGAAACACTCTTAAGGTAGCCTTCATGTTGAATTTCGATGACCCCTGGAGATGTTGTTTATCAAGATCCGAATGTGGGGAGAGTGGCAGGTCGACTCAGACATGCGATGGCATGTAGTCGCCGACCATGCATAAAAATTGCCTCTTTGAGACCAATGTCACCAAGCCAGGATTTGAGAGCCTCAAGGAATGCCGTCACCCTTCTAGCGTCTAACCAATTCGGGGTTTACTCAGCATGCTGTGCTAATGTTTAGGTTCTGAAATTGAATGCTCATTGTTGGTGACAAGTCCCAGAATAGCAACAATTGCTGCCTGCCACCGGTGGTTCGGTAGGCTCCCTTGGTGAGGATACGAGCGTCCCCGACACGATCCACAAGCCTCACGTCGGTGGCAGTGCTGAACTCGAGGACAATGCCATGTGGATCATGCTCAGATGTCACACGTGGAAAGAAGGGAGCACCGAAACTCCTGGGAGCAGGTTGCAGCATGTACCATGTACTGCCACAGCTATCTGAGGGCAGGCAGTCAATGCAACACGCCGGAGCCACTTATTGGTGACCATTCCACTCCCGGCGTACGTCGGGAGAATCGGCCGGAACAGCGGCAATTTATACGAGAATTCTGTATCAGCGGGTGCTAGCCCTTCGCCCAGTCACATATCGATCTTTGACAAAGCAGTCGTAATGGGACCTTCATTCGCACTCAATTCTGATCATAGCAACCGTCGCATATTCAGGATTACCCCCCAGCTATTCTCGATACTATAATGCCAAGCTTCCTGAACGGAAGACGCAAATAACTGTATATCGTTCTGAACATTTGGCCAATCAGGCAGACGCAACAATTTGAACTAAATCAACTGATGGTGCTCTAAGCGGATCTTCTTTCCGGCAGCTTGACTCGTGTTTCCACCTTCGCCAGCCTCCCTACCTTAGTGCCGGGTTTTGACTTCAAATCTCGTTGGCGTCGGGCAGGTTATGCTGCTGCCTAGACACCTCTCTGCTGCCGTGATGCAGTGATCAGTTCTAGATTGTAGGCTTCAACCAGGACTGGATCATGTCTCTGGACGGTGCGGAATATACGAACTCAGGATGTGCGACCAAATCGAGGAATGTCAAATCACACGACTTTCTGGATGAGAAGGCACACCCGGAACTGATAACGCTGACTAGGTGGACAAGAGGCTCCCTCGTGAGGAGGGCGCAAGCTGGATTGTCTACATCGCGGCTCGTCGGCTTCAGGAACACAGAAGCGAACGAGCATGTTTTCGCGAATCTGAGTAAAACCAACGCGTTGACTGACCTAACAGTGGCCGAGAGGAGCTCCTTGTGATAAGTCGCAAAAAGGGAATACGATCGCAATATTGGAGGTCGAGCCATGGCCCCACGCACTTGACGCGTATGCAATACCATACCCTTACCATGGGCAACATTCCGCCCTGCTTGCCGCTTGCCGTGTCACAAGCCATCCAACGCCATGAGGAGGGGAGGCCGACGGCTTACACTGCTAAATGGAAAGGGGGGGATTTGTATAAAGGAGTCCCCCAGTTTGACCTGCTTTGCTCGAAAGGATACTCACCCCTCACAGTACACCGACTCCATATCTCACATCTACACTTCACCACGCTCTTTCAACATGAAGCTCAACTTCCTCCTCGCCGCGGCCTTTGCCATTCCCGCCCTGGCGACCACCACCACTACCAACACGGCTGTCGAGACTAAGTACGTTTCAGATCCCACGGGCCTCGTCGATGGGCTTCGACGGCTAACAGCCTCCTACAGATCCTCCACCCACACCCCCACCGGCACGCAGCCCGCCGGCGCCAGCAAGGCCACCGGCTCCTCGTCGGCCCGCCACACCAGCAGCTCCAAGGCAGCCGCCCCTACCCTGGGCGTCAACATGATCGGAGCCGGTATTCTCGGCGGCGCGGCCCTCTTCGCCCTCTAAGCACGGTCGGGGGACTTGATGTTATTTTATTCATGAGTAGGATGGAGCCCGGCGCGGGCAACTTTTTTTGTATAATGCCTAGGAGCTTTCAGGGCAGAGTTTAGAGTCGCATCAACGGAACTTTGCTGCCCCCTTCCCCCAAACTTCGCGTTCCGGGTACCTGCATGATTGATGCCGTGACGCGGCTTGCTCCCTGGCAAAGCTTGTTTCTCGAGGATGACACGCCACGTGCCCGTAACCGCGGGGTATATTGATCGACCCTTGAGCTCGAGCCTTTGATATGGAGGGCAGACGTACAAATATGTGGAGAACATCTCCCTTGGATTCGACGACCTGTGCAAGTATTGAGAACAATAAGTCAACGTGAGGGGTCGGCCTCGAGCTTGAGCTGCTGGGGGTAGTGAGTTGCAACCCGGAAGAAGAAAAGATCACGACCGAAGTCACTTTCATACACTATCGGGCTCTGGGAGTCCGAGCATTGAGGCTTCGGGCAAATGATGGGCTCCAGAACTGATACGAGAGCCTGCGACCAAAATGCTCGGACTTCCGGAGCCAAAACAGTCTTCAAAGGGTCTTCAGCAGTTCACAGCATAGCGCAGCCGCGACTTCCATCAAAATCAAAACATAGGTTCGGCGTACTTATCAACACGCCCAGCAGTGGCATGCTGCTCAAAGATTGCGGAAGAAGACAAAGAGACGAAACGGCACATCCCGGAGACTTCAAGTCCTCGGGCGTGGACATCCAGCAGCGAAGGTTTTCCAAAGGCATGACGGATGCTACCGCTTGATCAACCTTTCAGGACGAAGCGCCTGCTGCGACGTTGACTACTCTAGCAGACCGAATTCCCACGACGCCTCCCACGTGTACGTCTCTCCCGGCCCGGTAATCTGCGCGTCGGCGCGTCCCCATTGCGGGCTACAGAATCAGCATGTTTGCTCGCTCCCCGTCGCACTTCTGACTATGGAAGGGGAAAAGAAAAAACGTACTTGTTGACACCGTCCACCAAGTCGTGCGGCTCAATGGCCACGGCCGAGCTGCGCCCCATGGTCTTCACCTCGTCTGTTCCCTGCGTGCTCTTCAGCCCAGCCGATCCGTCACTCCACCCCGTAGAGTAGATCTGCACGCCGCGCTGGTCCGTTCTCAGGTCAGCCTTGATGCCGTTCCAGGGACTCGCGAGTGTGAGGACGACCGTCTCGGGCGAGGGGACGTCGTCGAACAGCCAGAAGTGGTTGTAACCCTCCGTGCCGGCGTTGGTGGCAAATTCGGGGGTGTCGCGGGCGCGGCCAAAGGGGAGGTCAGGCTCAGAGGCAAAATCCATAATGTGGCCTGGGGTCACGGCAGCGATGGCGCCGGTGGGGAGGCCGAAGGAGTCAATCGGGAGGAAGCGCTTGGCGTAGGGCATATGCAGCGTGTGGGACCAGATATCGTCGGTGGAAGGGTTGCGGTAGGCCTCAAGGTTGAAGTAGGTGTGCTGGGTGAGCATGAGGGCTGGGTATGTCAGCTACAAGGAGGACAATGGGTACATGCGCGATGGCTCACGGGTTTTGGCTTCGGGGGCAGTGGCCTCCATCTTGATGTTCCACTTGCCATCGGCCACGCTGTAGGTGACGGACGCCTCTACACGTCCAGGGAAACCCTTGGATTCGCCCTCAGAATCAGAGATGGAGAAGGTGATCGAGTCGCTTGCGAGGCTGGTCACATCCCAGAAGCGGTACGACCAGTTGTTGCTGCCGCTGTGAAGAGTGTTGGTGGAATCATTCTTTTCCGTGTGATACGTCTTGGTGCCGATGGTAAATTGCGCGGCTTTCAGGCGGTTGACGTAACGGCCAGGAATCGCATTGTACACAGGATGGCCAGGGTCGACGGCTAGGCCACGTCAGAACAGAGTGTGCACAACTCGCTCAGTACTTACGGTAGAAATCAACGTCATCGTATCCCAGAACGACGTCGACGTCGTTTCCCTGCTTATCCTTGACGTACAGGTTGGTAAGTGTTGCGCCGTAGGGGATGAACTAGAATGAGATTCAGTGACGTTGAGTAATGAGATCAGTCACAGGGATCCTTTGTGTTACCTGGGCCTTGATTCCCTTGGCCGAGATGGTGTAACGTCCATCCTTTCCAGGCTTGAACTTGGACTTGTTGCCTGCCGCAATTGGCGTGCTCGTCAGCCTCAGACTCGGATGACAGACACCAGCGCTGACGGCCAGCTCATGGAAAAGCGATCATGGGCGAAAGTCCATTTCAGGCCCCAGTAATGCGACAGCTTACTCTTCTGTAAAGTCGGCACAATTTCATCTCGCCAATGCCAAATCCCCAGACCGACAACGACCGCAGCGACTGCCGAAAACACGATTATGCGGTTTGAAGCCATGTTTTCCAAAGGCTACAGACCAGGGCGCCCGTCGTTCGGAAGGGTTTCTGCTCAACGATTCAGTAAAGTGCGATCGCGCCAATGGCTGGGAAATCAGGTCTCTCACGGAAAAGAAAAAATCAATCAAGCCTCGGCGTCCCGCAGCAGGCCAACAGACCAGAAGCGAAAAAGCCCAAACGTCGCTCCCAAAAGGGCAGATGAGGCTTAAGTATCGGGCGTCCTCCCACGAGCTTCCCGTGGGCGCGCGTGGGGGGAGCCCCGGGCCGGACGCTCCCAACGGGTCGGCCGCTGCGAGGGCAAGCCGCACCGCAGGGTAAAGATCCCGATTGGACCTGTCCTTGCAGCGGAGGACTGGAAGACCCCCCTGGTACGCGCTGGCACCTGGGCGGACCTACGGACCGTGGTCGCTGTTGTGCGCCGCCAACCGAGTCGGCAGCAGGGGGCACGAGCAGCTTGGGGGGGGGTTAGTTGGAGAAGAGACCTGTAGGGGTCATCTCCCAGGTAGGCGGCGGTCACGGATCAGCGGGCGCCATCCAGCCAACGCGGAAAAGACAGATTGCACGGAGCCTCAGCTGCGGACGAGCCCAGTCGGGCGACATGCAGGGGGCAGCAGATGACGGATACGGAGGGACGTGATGGACGATGAGATAGGTATAGATGGATCTGGCCGACAAGGACGCTGTAGATGCTGATGGATTGGGCATGGCCATTATGCTGGTCCAAGTTTTTTGTGGAAAAAGGAGCATTGGCCCAGCTCCCCGTCAGCATAAGGTGCATAATCTGGCCGTTTGCCGAATTCAGTCCACCCAGCTCTTAACAAAAACGCGCGCTCCGGCGTGTTGGTTGCCACGTCCAGCAGCAGCAATGACATGTCCAGCTCCGTCAGGGCAAATGATTCCACGTGCGCCATGAGCCTGCCGCCCAGACCGTGCCCTCTCTCCGCCGGCAGTACGAGTAGGTTGTGGATGCTAGCCAACTTGGCAAGCGTCGGCTGAGGATTACGCACCAGCTGCACGGTTCCAAGTACCTCCATGGCAGAGGATGCGGGACGCCCAAGTACGAACAGCGACATGAGAGGGTTTGGGTCGAAGAGATCCAGCCGAAGGTTGTGCCAATACATGCTGGCATCGGCATCGGAAAGAGGTGCGAGAAAGTCGAGGGCCGAGAGGGCCGGTTCGGGATTGACGCAGGACTGCAGCACCCGACCGAGAGATGGCAAGAAGCGTTTCAGATCGCCTGCGTTTCCTATCTGCGTGATGGTGAATTCAGATTGAATAGATTGCGTGGCTCCATCGGATGTGGTCGCTGTTGGCTAACGATCGTCCATGGTCGCCTCTGCAGTCATGCGTCGTCTCAGCGACGCTGGCTCGGTGCCTGAGATGGTGATCGTTTTGGTGGCTGCTTTTTCCCGCTCGGTGTGAGGAGCATGGCGATGCCGAGGGGTATTGGCAGCGGGAAGGGAACAGGGTTAACGGGGGTCGTCATCATGGTAATCGACAGGGTCTGGTTCATCTGCGCACCGGCCCCATCACTGGGCTTCTTCCCCTGGCCGTTAGCAGAGCTACTGGGGGAGGCTGTCCTGGCGGGCTGTGGGCCACGCCGGGGTTGAGGCCGAGGGTTGGTCGAGTTGGCACGGTGGGGATAACTGTTGGAAGGCATCATGACGAGAAAGGTGTTTTGTTGGATGTGTGCTTGAAGGGATAGTTCGGCTGGCAATTTGGATCTGAAATATCTGGACTGGAGTTCTGACATTGATAGCAGAGTCTCCTTCCACAAGACGAGGTGGTTGTTATATAGTCTCCGACCATGGAGACATGGTGCGATGAGCTTCGAAACCAAGCATCGCTGTCGTTTCAAGCTTGATGAAATGGCACCTTTTCTGCTGATCCTCAGCCCAGACGCGAAACACCGTGGAAGCTGCCGCTTGGCGAGTTGCACTCTGCAGTTGCCTGGCATCCAGATCCATGGAGAGCTCGCGTGATGATGAGCACGCGGTGCCTCACAGAGCGACTCCCTGGTGGGTGGGCAAGGTGGGTTACCATGTACGCGTTGTAGGCGACCTGGGGATGATTATGGCTCGTTCTCCAAGCGTCCAGTTTGGTGTTCTGATCACGTGCTGAGCAGGCTCCATCGAGGTGTGGCACACCCAGCCACACCAAGGGCGACACCAGCCACGCTTTCTATGGCAGACTCACCATACCTTACTCACAGGCACAAGCACATGAGACCGTATTCGACTCGAAGCTCAGCCCGAGGTCCCCCAACAAGTCCAGTACATTCGCCTTTATTCGGAGAATATAGCTCAGGTTCTCTATTTACCTTTGCAAGAAACCATACTCGACTCCGAGTCATACTGGGCGAGGACCTGATTTTACAAGTACCAAACATGGAAAATCTGCACCAGAATGTTATTCCTCAAGCTGTGGACGAGCTTGTCACTCCGGGTGACCACCAGCAGCACACCACCGCTGCCGCTAACATATTAACAGCGTCAGAGATAGACTCGCTGTTACAAAATTGGACCCATGACAACACTGGCCAGTTAGTCCGCAACCAGGCGGGGGGCGATGCCGCCTTGTTACCAGACCCAGATCGGCTTCGGCGGACGCGAGCCTTGGGAGATGTCCTTCACACAGTCCAGCAGCTGTGGTATGCAGGCTCTGAAGAGATCGATGCAGTTGCCCAGATACTCGCGAACGGGAGCAGAACTGGTAAGAGTTCATCTCCTCTCATGAGACACGGCCACAGCGTTGACGAGTGCCAGCGTCTTGGAGGCTTCCGCTTGGGGATTCAGCCGTCTTTGACTTCTTCCTCGGCATCCTTGCCGTCGACACGATACGCCAGTCTTTAAAGTTGCAGATATTGCGGCTAGCTGGAAATTGCTGCGCCGATGCTGGTACGTGGCATCACATGATCGCAGCTCAGAACGTCACTGATGACAACACGCAGATGAGAATCGCGCGCGCGTCGTCTCATCCAACCACATGCCAGCCCTACTGGCGCAGCTCGAGGATGACAGTTTATTGCCGTTTGCTATCCAGGTCATACATAATGTCATGATGGACTATGAGTCCACGCAGCTCGCAGCCTTGAACGCTGGCCTCAGTGCGAAGCTCGTCGACCTTCTTGCCAGCCCGCGGTTCGCCCACTGCCAGCATCTTCTCGGCATGATCGGCACCATCTTTGAGATGCTTGTTGGCCATCGTACGTAGTGACCTCACTTATATAAGGACACCAGCTGATCAGTCAGAATCCGAGGCAACCGTCGCCAATCCGCAGACGCCTCTGATCCTCCTCAACCTTGCCCTCAGTCCGGCTGTTGTTGATGACGCTGCCGACGTCATCCAGCTGACCTTGGTTGCGCTGTCATACCTCTCCTTTGAGAACCTGCAAACCGTCTTCGTCAGTTCATACGGCATGCCGAGTTTACTTGGCGCATATTACCACATCTCCGCAAAGCTTGATCCCACCGTCGTCGCCGAGGAAGACCTTGAGGCCCAACTGAAGCAACTACGAAACACATTCATGCAGCTTCTGGCCGATCTCTGCTACCTGCCGACTTTCACCAAGTCTACGATCTCAGCTCCCCCATCTTCCAGACGTTCCAGTCCTGGCTGTCG